TGTCTCAAAAAAAAAAAAAAGATAGTGGCCTCTAGTTCCGTCCATTAGCTGCAAAAAACATGATTTCATGCTTTTTATGGCTGAATAGTATTCCATTGTGTATATATACCACATTTTCTTTATCTAGTGCTCTGTTGATGGAGACATTTAGGTTGATTCCTTATCTTTGCTATCGTGAATAGTGCTGGGATAAGCACACAAGTGCAGGTTATCTTTTTTATATATCGATTTCGTTCCCTTTGGGTAGATGCCTAGTAGCGAGGTTGCCGGATCATATGGTAGTTCTATCTCTAGTTCTTCGAGAAATCTCCATACTATTTTCCATAGAGGTTGCACTAATTTACATTTCCACCAACAGTATATAGGAGTTCCCTTTTCTCCACATCCTTGCCAAGATCTGTTATTTTTTGTCTTTTTCATAACAGCCATTCTGATTGGGGTAAGATGGTATTACATTGTGGTCTTAATTTATATTTCTCTGATGATTACAGATGTTGAATATTTTTTCATATGTTTGTTGGCCATTTGTTTGTCTTCTTTTGTGAGCTGTCTATTCATCCCCTTAGCCCATTTTTTAATGGGGTTATTTGAGGGTTTTTCATTCAGTTCTTTCAGTTCCTTGTAAATTCTGGATCTTAATCCCCATGTCATATGTATAGCGTACAAATATTTTCTCCTATTTTGCGGGTTGTCTGTTCTCTCTGTTTATTCTTTTGCTGTGCAGAAGCTTCGTTTAATTAAGTCCCATTTGTCTGTTTTTGTTGCCTGTGCTTTTGAGGCCTTAGTCATGAATTCTTTGCCTAGACCAACGTCCAGAAGTTTCCTCTAGGTTTTCTTCTAGTATTTTTATAGTTTCAGGTCTTACATTCAAGTCTTTAATCTATCTTGAGTTGATTTTTTTTTTTTTATCTGGTGAGAGAGGGGGTCAGCCCCCTTCAGCAAGCACTGGTTAAAGCAGGACAGGAGAGTGTCGCAGTAAAATGTCATGTGTGCCACTGGATACGGGGAGCCCTGGGTCTCTGGTGCCCGGCTGTGTGTTACCTGGTGCACATCAGTTACTCCCGAGCCAATTTTTTCCCGAGTTAATATGGATGTCCTGGTCCATCCGCCTCCCTCCCAGTGCTGCTGAGAACCTAGGAAGATCCAAGGAGAGGAGGGCATTTTCAGGGAACTCTAGCAACCTGAGGGTCTTGGACCTTGTTTTCTAGTCTTGGGGCATCACAGTTCCCGGATGGAAGGATATTTTCATAATGGTTACTCTAGCTAAAAATATTGGGCACTTAGTCTTTGCTAGTAGCTATTCTGAGAACTTTATATATATAAACTCATTGGCCTAAATCTCAGAAAAGTCACCCGCCCAAGGTAGTGTAGCCAGAATTTGAGTCCAGGCAGTCTGGCTCCAGAGTTCATACTTTTAACTATTACACTGTGGTATCTCCACCTCAAAATGACCGTCCTGGAGGTGCTCAGACCTCATCACCCATGTAGGGTGCCCATAATTTTCTGTCTCCCCACACTTTCTGTGCCCCCCATGATGAGGACCCCAGCAGCTATTAAAAGACCAAGCTTGAACAATGTCGGGTAGGGGTTTGGACCAAAAGATAGAGAAGAATTGGGCATTCCAAGTAGAAGGCACAGAATGAATTAAAGGCAGTGGGGTGGCAAATTAGGACAGTATGCAGACAGATCTGGCCAGGATGGATTTGAATGAGTAATAGAAAGATTTAAATGAGTAATAGCCGTGGCAGAGACTTGTATTTACCACGTACCATCCCTATGCTAAGGACTTCATGTGGAAATGGCGGCAGAAGGGCAAATGAAGTAGACTGCTTAGGATCACACAGTTAACAGGTGACAGAGCCAGGATTTAAATTCAGATCTGTCTTGACTCAGACCCCAGTGTGTAGGGGCCACATTCTGGGGTCCTTGAAGGGCACGACGAAGCTTTTGGAATTCAGGCAGTTGTAGGAAACAGGAAACCATTAAAATAGTTTTGAGTGGGGAGCAAGGATTGGTCTGTGACGGGGCAGGGTGGGTTTGGGGTGATGCCAAGGACAGACCAGGGTTTCTTGGAGAGTGTGAGGCCCTGGATCTCTGGCCAGCATTCTTGTTTTTATAATTCTCATGCTGTGGCTAGCCTCCACCCCAATGCGGGGCCAGGCAAGGCTCCTTAGGAACTGCATGATCGTTCCAATCAGGGTAATTTCCTGCCCTCTCAGCCTTGCCTGCCCCTTTCTTGGCTGAGAACGGAGGAAGGGGGAAGCCAGAGGCACCAAAACAGACAAAAAGGCCTGTATTTAGGATTCCCCAGCCCCCAGGACCTGGAGTGTGCCGTCTTCCTCCTAAGTCCTGAGTGGGGACAAAAGCCAGGGCTGAGGGAGTCCAGAGGCTGATGGAGCCCTGAGTAGGGACTCCAGAGGTCCCAGGCTAAGGCAGAGGCTGGCCTTAATAGGCCAGTGCATTTCCCTCTCCCGCAGGTGACTTCCTGGCCAGGAGCATCATTATTGTCACAGATGAGGGAAGGTGTTTTGGGGCCTGCACCAGGCTGGCCCTCCTTCCTGGGCTGGGTGTCAGCGGAGCACTGGCAAGAACCCCAGCCTTTCCGTCAGAAACAACGCCTGGGCTCTGTCTCAGCCTTTCACCTCCCTGTGGGAACCAGGGCAAAGGACCTCCGCTCCCTGGGCCTTGATGTTCTCACCTACCCAGGGTACGGCTGACTTAGGGCACTTCTGGACACTCCCTGCTGAAAAGGCCCTCTAAGCGCTCTTTTGTCGTTTATGGAACTTTATTGGAAGACTCCTATGTGTCGTGCCCTGTGCCTGATCCTGGATGCAGAGATGACCAGGCAGGGTCGCCATGCTCCGCAGGCCCACGGCCCAGTGCGAGAGGCAGCTGGTGAGGATGGCAGCAAGTGCAGGGCTTGAGGCAGCAGCAGAGGGGGTGCTTCAGTGAGGCACGAAGGCAGAAGGGGCTGGTGGAGAAGGGTGGGAGAGTGGGCGAGGCAGAGGGAAAAGTGTGGATAAAGGTCTGGGAGCTCACGAGAACCTGCCTTGTCCTGGGAGTGGTTAAAAATCAAGTTCGATCCCTCTGCCTACTTGAGAAATGGGATGGACACAGGGCGCAAAACGTCCTGTGCAAGAGGGCCTGGGTTCACCCTGAGCTACCAGGCCTCGTGGGTGGCCAGTTCGAGGTCATTACAGAAATAAACAGGAGGTGGCGAGGCCCAGTGACAAGGATGCTGAGGAAGCAGTTCATGTACTTCATTCATTTACAAATACCAATGAAACAACTCCTCCAGGCCGGACAGCACTGTAATTGCTAAGGATGTTTAAGACAGGACAGGTCCCTGCTGTCACAGATCTTCTGTGTAGCAGAGGATACAGTTAATAAGCAAGTAAACAGATAACTTGATAAGATAATTTCAGGTTGTGACAGGTGCCGTAAGAAAGATAAAACAGAGTAATGTGATGGCATAACTGGGATGGGGACTGGGGACAGCGACTTCAGATTGAGGGTTTAGGGTAGTCCTCAGAGGAGGTGACCATTGAGATGAGACTCGAGGGAGCCAACTGCTAAGATCAGGAGGATAAGAAGAAGAGCAAGGCCGGGCGCGGCGGCTCACACCTGTAATCCTAGCACTCTTGGGTGGCCAAGGTGGAAGGATCGCTTGAGCTCAGGAGTCTAAGGTTGCAGTGAGCTATGATGACGCCACTGTACTCTACCCAGGGTGACAGAGCAAGACTCTGTCTCCAAAAGAAAAGAAAAAGCAGCAAGTACCAGAGTCCTGAGGCTGGAGCAAGCTTGAGTATTTCAGGAACGAATGGGGGTTTGGGAGGTGAAGGCTAGAGAGGCATGAACCAGGTCGTGGGTTGTGGGAGATGAGAGGTCAGAGAGGAGCAGGGGCCAGGTCCTGCGTGGCCTTTTAGGCATGTGGAAGAGTTGGAATTTTGTTCTCAGCATGAAAGGAAGCCACAGGGGTTTAAGCAGGGGACTAACTTTGTCAGATTTGCATTTGTAGAAGGATCAGTGTAGTATGGCTGTTGTGAGGGGATGTAGGAGGCAAGAGTGAAGGCAAGAAACCTGTGAGGAGGCTGTGACGGTAACCCCCACTGAGGACATTGATGGCTTGGACCAGCGTGCTGGCAGAGGAAGTGGAGAAGTTCAGGGAAGTGGACGACAGCTTGCTGATGGGTTGGGTGTTGGGGGTGAGGGAATGAGCAGTATCTGGTAGGCAGTTCCCCTTGGGCCCCAGAGTCCCTTCCCTTTGGAAGATTATGGGCGTCATGGCACTGACTGGGCGCCATGATACCCTGTGGTCAGATCCCCAAGCCTGACCTTTTGCTTCTCTCCCACTCTGGCCAGGTCTCCCCTGCCAAATCCACCCTAGCCCGCTGAAGCGCTCCATGTCACTCATCCCTACGAGCCCCCAGGCCCCTGGTGAGTGGCCGAGTCCAGAGGAGCTTGGGGCACGGGCTGCTTTCACCACGCCCGACCACGCACCCCTCTCACCCCAGAGCAGCGTGGCCTCCTCTGGCAGCGAGCAGACGGAGGAGCCGGGCTCCAGCCGGAACACTTTCCAGGAGGACGGCAGCGGCATGAAAGGTACCGTGGGGAGGGCAGCACCAGGACCCTTCTCCAGGGGCTTCCGCATAGCTTAGAGGCCAGAAAGGAGCTCATAGCTGCCACTTGCCTATCCCCCTGAGGAGGAGACAGGTCTGAGGGGAGTGGGTAGTCCCTGCCCTTAGGGCTCGAGGCAGAGCAGAGAGACTCCAGGTCCACCCTCAACGGCCGCTGGCCTGATCGGAGAGGATCCCCTGTCCTCGCATACCCCAGTCTGTCAAAGAAGCTAGGACACAGGTAACTGACGGGACAGAAGTTCCAGGAAGGCTTGGAGAAATCAGTGAGGTCATCCTAGTGCACATCCCGCCTAGCAGCTCAGAAGGGGCGGATGTCCTGCCCAGGGAAGACTACCTGAAGGGGTCTGGCTGGGCTGAGAAGTAGCTTATGGACCCCTGGCTTCCTCCAGCCCCTTCCCAATTTTCTGCAACTTTGAAGACTGCCTGTGGTTTACACCTGGCCCCTCTCCACCACCCTCCCTTTGCCCTCATCACCAGGGCCAAACTCGGGACCTTTCACCCTCCCTCCTTTTCCACAGATGTGCCCTCGTGGCTCAAGAGCCTCCGCTTGCACAAGTACGCGGCCCTCTTCTCACAGATGAGCTACGAGGAGATGATGACACTGACCGAGCAGCACCTAGAGTCTCAGGTGAAGCCGAGGGAGCCATCGGGGACGTGTTGGGGGCAGCAACATTCTGGCACTGCTCTTGCAGCCCAAGCCTCCTCTGTCTCCTCAGTTTCTGTTAGGGTACCCCCAAGTACCTCCCATTTCCAGCTTCCTGTCCCCTTCTGTCCTTATCACAGAATGTCACCAAAGGTGCGCGCCACAAGATAGCCCTGAGCATCCAGAAACTTCGTGAAAGGCAGAGCGTCCTCAAGTCCCTAGAGAAGGTGAGGACCTGGTATCGGCATCTCCAAAGCCAGCCAGCCGCCCAGGGGCACCAGTAGACCGAAGGCTCTGAGTCGGTCTCCCCACTCCTCACGTCTGACCGCCAGCGCCCCCGCCCTAGGGAGCCACACTCCAGAGACCGTGTCAGACTAGCATCAGGGGCTCACTTCCTGGTGGCTAAGAGGCTCCCCACCCCCATCCCGTCCTGGTTTGTGATTCTGGATCTCTCTCCGTCTTTTCACTCTGCACATTCTCTCCCCTTTGCTTCTCCATTTCTGACTTGATCTTTCTGGTAGAGCAGAGTGTCTCTGAGTGATCTCTCTTTCCCTTCTATTGTTTCTCATCCACTCGCTCTCCTTCTAGATCTGCCCTGATTTGCATTCCTTTTTCCCTTTCTCTGCCGCTTGCCCCCTCAGTGTCTTGGTCTGAATCTCTGATTCCATCTTGGTGCATCCCTGAGGCCCCAACATCAGACCACATCTTCCTGAGTTCTGGGGGACTTCACCTTGAAGGGGAAAGGGAAATGTGTGTGCACAAATGTGTACCCGTATATGTGCGGGTTCGTGATGCCTTTGCCTGCCTTCTCTGTGTGCTGGAACCCAGGTCCCTCCCCGTCTTCTCCAAGCCCTGTCTGACTCCTCCCCCCTTGGGTAGATATCCTCTGTGCCTAGCTGTGGGGGTCTGCCTGTGACCCCGGCCCCTGTCCTCCCCACCCAGGACGTGCTGGAAGGCGGGAACCTGCGTAATGCTCTGCAGGAGCTGCAGCAGATCATCATCACTCCCATCAAAGCCTACAGTGTCCTCCAGGCCACTGTGGCTGCCGCTGCTGCCACCCCTACTGCCAAGGATGGGAGCCGAGGGGAGCCACCGCTGCCAGGTGCTGAACCTCCCCTAGCCCACCCCGACACAGACAAGGGCACCGAGACCAAGGACCCTCCAGCTGCGGAGAACTACCCCCCTCCACCAGCTCCAGCTCCCACCGATGGCAGTGAGCCTGCCCCAGCTCCCGTCGCCGACGGAGACATCCCCAGCCAGTTTACACGGGTGATGGGCAAAGGTGAGACCAGCAGGGCCTGGCAGGAAACACTAAGGCAGAAAGCCAAGTGAGCCCAGGCTTCAGGGATTGAATCCAACTTAGACGCGGGGAGCAGGGCTTTTGAAAGCCTGCTGGAACCTGGAGCATTGCAGAGAATAACTGAGACAGAAGGTGACAAGTCCCCTGCCCTCGAGCATGCCTGGGCTGATGGTGGATGACAGCGCTTACCCTTAGCAGAAGATGATACAGTGTGTCAGAGGAAACTGCACGCGGTAAAGCGTGAATGGATAAGAGGAATCCATCAGTCTCTCTGAGAGGGGATCAGACTCCAGGGGATGGGGATGGTGACGCTCATGATGGGTTCAGCCTTTCCTAAGGTAGCACGACATGGCAGACTTCACACTTGGATCCAGATCTTTTCTCTCTTTTTTTTTTTCTTTTTTCTTTTTCACGAGAGACTCTAGATCTAATGGATCCAGATCTTTTTAGCTGTGTGACCTAGGACAAGTAACTCAACTTCTCTGAGCCTTAAGTTCCTTAAGCTAAAACTGCCTACATTGAAAAGATTGTTGCAAGGATTAAAATGAGAAAGGTATTATTGACTCCACATCTGCCTTGTGCTGGGCACTGTGGTAGGTGCCTTGCCTAGCATTTAGTTGGCACTCATCCAGCCTGAATCTCCTTTCCCTCCTTCTCTACCAGCCAGCGGGGGCTGGGGAGCTGGAGCATGGACAAGGGCATGCTGGGGCTAACCTCCTGCCCTTTGCCATATCCCCCAGTGTGCACCCAGCTGCTGGTGTCCCGACCGGACGAGGAGAACATCACCAGTTACCTCCAGCTCATCGAAAAGTGCCTGACTCATGAGGTGAGGCCTTCTCTAGGGCTCCCAGGAAGGGAAAAGCTGCCCCATCGCTCTTGGGACCAACATTCCTTGCCTGGCTCCACCTGCCTGACCTAACACCCACCGCCCTTCCAGCCTTTCATCTCATCAGTGTCGGGTTCAGCTCTCAGTTCAAACATTTGTACCTCAGGGATGCCTTCAGCAACCCCTCATACCTGCTCAGGTTTCTTGCGCCTCCTGGTCTTCTGCCTCATAGGGATAGCTTTTCATAGTTACCACTGCACGCGTGTCTTCCCCCAGCCACACCGTTAGCTCCACCCACGAGCACTGTCATCTCTGTACAGCGATTGCTTGGCACAGAGCACGTGAGCGATTGATATTTGAAAGAATGAAAGTCTGGAAGGGAGGTCTGAAAGAAGTACAACCCCCCTTGCTTCACCCTCCCCCCCTTCCACCCCCCAATTCTAGGCTTTCACGGAGACGCAGAAGAAACGGCTGCTGTCCTGGAAACAGCAAGTGCTGAAGCTCCTCCGCACGTTCCCGCGCAAAGCCGCACTAGAGATGCAGAACTACCGGCAGCAGAAAGGGTAGGCGGATGGCCAGGGCACAGGGACCTGCCCTCCCTGGGCTTGCTGGTTGGCAGATCAGTGCTTAGAGGGGTGATTGCGTTCTGGGCTGGGGATCCAGTTGTACTCACGCAGGCACTGGGTGACCTTATCCAGGTCGCCCAGTGGAGACTTTCCCAGAAAAAAATCAGGGTGTTCTTACCACTAGAATAGGATGCTGAGCTGGCGAAAAACAGCACATGTCCCGAGAGCAGGCGCCTTGCCTGTACCTTCTGCTCTTCACCTGTATGCAGAGGGCTCAGAAGTCACTTTTTACACCAAACAAATAACAGAAATACTTCCCCTGACCACTGAGGTGTGGAGAACTGCTCTGAGTGGACAGTGAGGAAACCTTTGTGTGCTCCCGTCTCCATCCTGGGGGTACCCTTGGGGCAGGAGGAGACAGAATGTGCGATGCAGGGATCTGGTCAGGAAATGCTTGCTCAGGGCAGGCTGGTGTTCTGTCCTGCCCCTTGGGGCTGTGGGAGAAGGTGAGGAAGAGGCGGACAGATGGGCCCCATCCACCTACGCTAACACCCTTCCCTCTGCTCTCTCACAGCTGGGCGTTCGGCTCAAACTCGCTCCCCATAGCTGGCTCTGTGGGGATGGGGGTGGCCCGGCGGACCCAGCGGCAGTTCCCAATGCCTCCCCGGGCCCTCCCACCGGGCAGGATGGGCCTTCTGAGCCCCTCAGGCATTGCGGGCGTCTCCCCTCGACATGCCCTAACCAGCCCCAGCCTTGGGGGCCAGGGCCGACAGGTGAGCTGGCCGGAAGCAGAGGCCCCGCTGCTCCTGGAGTTGGGGTGGCAGTGCCTGGGGTGTGTGTGTATATCACTGTGTCTGGGCCCCACTTGGAGGTTGAGGGGCCTTTGCCAGCTCTACCACTCCTGGGTCTGGGCCTCTTCCCCACTCATCCCCTACTTTCTCTCTTCCCTTGCCCCGTACAGAACCTGTGGTTTGCCAACCCTGGGGGCAGCAACAGCATGCCCAGCCAGAGCCGCAGCTCTGTGCAGCGCACCCACTCGCTCCCGGTCCACTCGTCGCCCCAGGCCATTCTCATGTTCCCTCCAGGTGAGGTGCCCCACCCTTGGGACTCTGCCTTAGCAACACCCTCAGCTGGCTTTTCTCTTCTCCTGGGTCTCATATCCACTCTCCCTTCGTGACTATGCGGGCATCTCTCCCCATTCTTCCACCGCTCTGTACCTATCTCCCCCTATCAGGGGAGGTTTTTTCCCTCCTCGATTTTATCTCCCAGGTCCTGCCCCACTCCACCCCCAAAACTTCTCTCACCTCTTATCCCCACCCTCATCTCCATATGTTTCCCTCCCTACGTCATATCATAGTGTCTGTGTTGGTCTCTGTCACCATCTTTTTTTATTTTTATTATTTTTTTAGAGACAGGGTCTCACTCTGTCCCCCAGGCTGGCTTGCAGTGGTGTGATCATAGCTTCGCTGCAGCCTCAAACTTCTGGGCTCAAGGGCTCCTCCCGCCTCAGCCTCCTGAGTAGCTGGGACGGTAGGTGTGTGCCACCACACCTGGCTTGTCACCATCTCTTTATAAGATCATTAAATATTCAGCTTAGAAGGGTTTGCGGGGATGGGTTGGTCAACATGTAAGGTTTCTGTGGATGGGAGTCCTGCCCATCAGCTTACCAGCATTCTCAGGCTGGTTGACCACACAGGAACCAGTGGACTTAGCTTCGTAGATGAAGTTCCATATGAAGGGGTGTCTGAGGTGAGGGCCCTTTGACCTCTGCTCACAGACCAGCCTGGAGATGGGAGATCAGCAGTAGGGCCAAGTGGGCAAAAGGGAAATTAGAGATGTGCCAGCTGTGGGTCCCTGCCTTGCTCAACAGGTAAGGGGTTAACTCCTTCGCCCTGTGCTGAGCCCACTGCAGGGCACCAGGGCTGCAGAGAAGATGAGGCTGGTCTGGAATAGGCTGGCTCTGGAGAGATCTTAGATTCGCAGGGGATCCTAAACTGTGTGTTACAAACTGCCAGATCGGTAGGGGGTCTTAATTTATGAGATTATATGGACCGTTGAAGCCAGGGGAACCCCTCTGTGGTGTTCCTCCTAGCACAGCGCTTGGCACGGGGTAAGCATCTGTAAATGATGTTAAACGAGCTGATGGATGAACTATAGGAGCAAAAAATAAGAACCATTCTTCTTACTGGTATGCTGTGTGCCAGGCTCTGTCAGACAGCTTTTCTCCACTGTCGGAATCCTCCCAGCTGCACATGTGAGGGCACTAATACTATTTTCATCTTATCAGTCACCAATCTGAGAGAGGTCTTGCCCGAGTTTAAAAAAACATTTTAAGGAGAGACAACTAGGTGGCCCAATACAGCATGAGCTCGGGGTTCGGATGGGACGGTGATGAGAGGTGAGGCTGAAGATGGGAGCTGGGTCTTCCCAGCCCAGGTTAAAAGCTCAGGCTTTCTCCCGATGGCAGTGGGGAGCCAAGGTTTAAAGCAGTGTGGGGTAGGATCCGGTCTGCCCAGGGAGGTGTGTGGTTCCCGGATGCCAGAACAGGAGCCCTTTTCTGAAGTGGTCTGAGGACAAGCCCTACGGCTCCTACCCTACTTTGCCCCACTTGCCCGGCTTGCCTGGATCGCATCTTGCCCGGAGGAGCAAGTCCAAGCAGGGACGGGAAGGGTCTTAATTTAGCTTTTTCACCAAGTACAGAGCAGGTCATCAATCAGGGAGCATGGGGCTGCCCAGTGTCCAGGGCAGATGCCCAGACCGTGCCCAAGGTGACCTGCAGTCCGTGTCCAAAATAGTCACAGCCTGTGTGTGGCCTCCAGGAAGCTCCCCTCAGCTTCACTTCACTTCCTCTCTCTGCGAGTCAGGCTTTTTCTGCATCACCAGCCTCTACCTTTGCCGTCGTCTCCTCTGCCTGCCGTGTGACACACTAGGCCTGTCTCCGGCCTTCGTCTCTGCCCAGTCATCTCTTCCGCCCAAGTGTGCACATGTCCCGCATGCTCTTGCTTCTCCGTCTCTTGCCTCTTCCTCCCTCTCCGCTGGAAGTCCCAGTCAGTGTCCCTCCCCGTCCCTGGCCCCGTCCCCCTCTCCCTACCAGCATCCTTTGTCTTCCCAGCTCGCCTCCCCACCCCAGTCCGTTCCTCACCACCCCCGTTCTCTCTCCTACCCAGACTGCCCGGTCCCTGGGCCTGACCTGGAGATCAATCCCACTCTGGAGTCTCTGTGTCTGAGCATGACAGAACACGCCTTGGGTGGTGAGCATTTCCTCTTCCCCTGACCCGGCTTCCACCCGCCCAGCGTCTCCACCTCTGAACCTGAGCAACTCAGAGTCATCCTGAGGGGCTCCTAGGGGAGGCCAGACTCCAGGGAGGGCCTGACTGGGATGACAGGCTACCTGAGTGCCTTTGCCCGGGCCTCCCGCCAGATCCTGATCTTCCTCCCTTCCTCCCTTTCTTACCACAGATGGGACAGACAAAACCTCCACCATCTGACGGGACCCACAGCCCAGCGCACCCATAGGCTCCCCGGGCGGCGGGCGGGGGCCAACCCCCAACGGGCTTCTCCGCAGCAGCGAGGGTGGGCTGGCCCAGCTACACATTCTAATATTTTTCTACTCTCTCACCCTTTTAACTTTTGTTTAACATTGGCACATGCCTTGCTCACTCCCAGGCCCGTCGAGGGATCTCTGCTGAGGCCGGGGGAATTGGGGGCAGCCAGGACAAAGGGGGCAGGGACTGGCCAGCCTGCCTGCCCCTTCCTTCTCCTCCTCATCCCCACCTGGCCCCGTCCTGCCCCTGCCTCCTCCAGACCGCTGACCACCTGCCCCTCCCTGAGGGCGCAGACTCCCCCAGAGGCAAACTGACCACTACCTTGTGGAGCCTGCTCAGAATCGTTTGACACTTGGGGCGGAACGAGCAGGGTAGATAATCTGCTCTCCAGAATGCTGTCGAGAGGAGCTGGAGAGAAGGGGTGGGGAGAAGAACCTCTCTCTCCTCTCCACCTTCTTCCCCTTCCCCGTTCCCACCATTCCCTAAGGACAGGTGCCACCTTCCTCTCGCTCACCCCCCTTTGCCCTGTTTTCCAGAGGTTCTCTACAATTAATTTCTTAGGCCTATTTAAGATACATATTTATATAGTTCTTAACGGTTTTTCTCTGATCATTCCCTGTCATTTTTAGAATCCCCAGGCCTCTCAGCCGAGACAGTGGCAGGGGGAGCCTGAACTTTTTGAGGGGAGAGGGCAGAGCCCCCTCCTCCAGACCAGACCCCCAGGCCATTCCCTGTTTCCCCAGCCCTGGCTCCCCAGACGCAGAGGTTGAAGGGGGGCAGCCAGGGCAGACAGTGAGGTCAGGAAGTCTGTTGCCTTAACGTCCCCTCCCCCACCAACACGCCCTTCTCCGCCCCAGGTCTGCTTGGTGAAGGACTTGGGGGTAAGGAATAAGGGAAAGGGGATTGTTTGGTTTTTGGTTTTTTTCCCCGACCCCCCCCTTTTCTTTTAGCCTTTCCCCAGCCCCCCACTATGTCATGACCTCACTTAAGTGGAACACTATACATAACCCAGAGATTCGTCCCAGCCCCAGAGTCAGACAGACCCTGCGGTCCCTATTCCTAATGAGGGGTTGTACTGGGGCCCAGGTGGAGGGAGGGGACTTGGGGGTTCAGACTGTGGGAAGCCAGGGTCCCCCCTATTCCAACCCCTTTCTCCCCCTCTACTCATCCCCCCCCACTGGGACATTCTCAAGCTTTTCACACCGAAAAGGAAAAAAAATGTTATTTTTAGATACATTTTATGAATAACTTTTGTTATGAATATGGCTGGTAACCATTGTGTATGTTATTAAAGATACAAAATGTTGGGAAAAAACAAAAAACCAAAAAAAAATTTTAAAGCCACCGCCCTCCTGCACTATCACCCCATTACCCAGACCTCCTTGCTCCTACCCTCCTGGTCATGGACCTCCCTCCGCTCTGAGCCCAGGGAGGGGGAAGAAGCCAGGGGGGTAGGGTGGCCCTGGGGACCTGCCTCTGGGTCCCCACCTCCTCTCCCAGTGCCGGGCTGGGTGGGGTGTCAGGTTTATTTATGTACCTCTTGCACACTCATCAACCTATGCAAGTCCCCCACCCCGGCCCCTCCGTGTTTCTGTGCCTTTGCTCATTCCCCTCAAGCTCCCAGGGCTTCTCTAGTCCCCCTCCCACTAGCTGTGGGAAGTGGGATGGACGGGCCACCTCCTTTGGAATCAGCAGGGTGTCCCTCTCATGGGACCCTCGCCTCTCCCCAGCCGGTCCTGTCTTGTTCACACCCATCAGGGTGAGCTGACTCTGCCTGGCACTGGGAGGTGGCGAGGGACGCCTTCTCACACGCAAAGGGAGGCAAGAGCTGTGCGCCCCCCTGCCCCCACCTGACAGCAGAGTGTGCAGGACGCAGGCGGCCCCACTCTGATGGGCAGGACTCTGACCCTATCCTGCTCCAGCCCCCACTCCCCAGGCCCTCCTCCGTGATTTCACCCTCCCCACCCACTTCTGTCCCCAGCCCCACTGGCAGAATCAGCTTTGAGTAACTGTACAGTTTTTCTCGCTGTTGGAGAAGACTTATTTGTTGAGTTTCACTTGTTTAATGGTCTGGGCTTATTTTGGAAAAAAAAAAAAAGAGAAAACAAAAAGAATTCTGATCTTTGTTGTGCTACATTTTATGGGAAACCCTGTGGCCCTGCCTCTGTCCCTTGTTTCTACATCCTTGAGTGCCTGGGGTGGGGTTGGGCGGAACGAGACAGGGGCTGGGAGAGGAAGTAAAGAGAAGCTGGCTTTATTAACAGCAAAGGTTTGGGGTGGGGACGAACAAAGCGGAGGGCTCACAAATAGACCGCTAGAAAAGTGCCTTCCTGCTCACAATAACGGTGTCTGCACCTGCCCTAAAGCCTTGGGACTCAGTCACTGTCACTGTCAGCTTCGCTGGAATCAGAAGCTACAGCGTCACTGCCATCCTCCTGGGCTGAGTGTTCGCTGCCACTGGGGAAGGGACTGGCACTGCGGCTGCGACTCCGGCTCCGCTGGCCACCACCCTCGCTGCCGCTGTCTGAATCATTGTCACTGCCACCTCGGGCCCGTCCTCTGTCCTCGTCGTCAGAGTCAGCATCATCCTCTGAATCAGCATCACTGCCGAAGATCTCTTCTTTGTCCCGGGCAGCCCGGGCCTCATCCTCGCTGCTCTCGTCCTCGCCGCTGCCACTCTTGTCACTGGCTTCATCCCTGTCACCCTCCTCCCGATCGCTCTCACTGCCTGAGCGCTCATCCTCGCTGCCTTCCTTCCCACTGCTGCTGCCCTTCTCAGGTTCTTCATCTGGGAGGGAGCAGGGAGAGGTGAGACCCAGCTCCCCACCCTGCCCGGGCTGCCAGAGTCTGGCCCGTCCAGCTTTACCTGAGCCCCCAGCTTCTTTCTCTTCCGTCTCCATCTCCTCTTCCTCTTCTTCCTCGGGTTCGTGGTTTTCCAGCTGGGCCTTCCGTGCTTCCTGAAAGCAGCAGGATTGGCATGAGAGGAAGGAGGGCGTTCTGTTGGACCTCGGCCCCTCACCCAGCACCACCCTCCTCCTGGGTGCCCTGGGCCAATGGTGCTTGTTACCTGGGCTTCTAATTCCTTCTCGTTCATGTCCCGATGTTTGACCACAAGCAGGGCGTTGGTACCCGACTGAACCCCAGCCTTGGCCCGGCGCTTACTAAGACGGACTCTGCAGTGGGCAAGTTTAGGGGGAGGGATAGAAGATGTATTTGAAGACCCCACCCAGTGAGGGCTCTGGTCTGACTTGGTTCCCAGTCAATACTTAGCCCAGAATAAAGACACATTGAATAAGAGACTCGAGGGGTTGGAGGCAAGGGAAGGGCAGGATGATGGTCCAAGGTGCCAGTTTGGTTGCCCTGTACCGTGTGTGGGGGGTTGGTATTTACATATATACAGTCACGCGTTGATGAGTGACGGAGATACGCTCTGAAAAATACGTTGTTAGGCAATTTCACTGTCCTGCCAACATCACAGTGTACTTACACAAACCTAGATGGAACAGCCTGCTCCACACCTAGGCTCTGTGGTATAGCCTGTTGCTACTAGGCTGAAAACCTAAACAGCATGTTACTGTGCTGCAGGCAGTTATAACACAGTGGTAAGTATTTATGTGTCTAAACATAGAAAAGGTACAGTAAAAATAGGGTATTACTATCTTATGAGACCACGTGGTATATGCAGTCCATTGTTAACAATGACATTGCTGTGCAGCACATGACTATATATGCATTAGTTACCAACCCTTACAAACCAGGACATGTAAAATAATCCGGATTTCTGGCTTTTGAGAAATAGGAACTTATGGCCCCGGTGGGACTTTTAACCCCCCACAGCACAGCAACATTGGGCTGGAAACTCATTGTGGTGCCCCTTGGAGGTTGCCCAGAGCTCCAGGTCACTCAGACCCTACCAGGCCACTGCTTTTACATTTCCTTGTCTTACGGGGTCAGAATGTGTGATCTCTGCTTTAAATAGAAACTCAAGCCTTCCCAACTCAGACACCAAGGGCCCCAGCGGTAACTTTCAGCTGTCAGGAAGGAGTTTGAAGTCACATGTTTGGACTTGAGTATCAAGCATTTCATTGAAAACATTCATGATAACCGTATGTATTACTCCATACTTCGGCTCTGTTTACTTTCACGTGAAATCTCTTACTAATTCCAGGGGTTTGAAACCTGGCTGTCCACCTTGCACAAAAGCTCTAAATGTCTCCAGCATTATGGAAAGATTTTCTTTCTGGCTTCTTGTGTAAGTCCAGCCCATGTGTGTGATCAGGCATCTGGTGCTCTTGCTTATGAATGCATGTGACAAATCATTAAATACAAACGACCTCTGAGGTGGCTCTTGCATGCCCCAGGGTCTTGAGAAGCACAGATCCAGGCTATTCAGATAGGAGCGTGCCGAGTACCTGGTTTCCAATTCGTTGTAGTAAACCCCGTCGCCTTCTCGGAAGATGAAGAAGTAGTTTTCCTCGTAGCCCTTGCTAGCTTTGTTCTTCACGTTCCAGTTATACTCCCGAGCAATCTTGTAGTCATACCTGTGGATGAGGGCACAACTTCAGTCCCATTTTTTCCTTATGAGCAAAGGGGGACACACTTCTCAATCCCCAAAACCTAACCCCAGCCCACGCACACATCATCTGGTGCGTAGTCCATCTCCTCCTCCTGGTCCCGCTTTCGTTTCTTCAACGTCTCTTCCACAGGCAGGAAATAGGCCACGAACTGGTTCCCTTCCTCATCCATCATGCCCCTGGTTGGGGGAGAGGAGGAGCAGTGAAATGTGAGGACAAGGGGGCAAAGAGCAAGGCAAGGCGGGCAGCAGGACCACTCACCTAATCATGGCCTGAGACATCATCTCCAATGCAGCTGCGCCACTCGTGTCCTTGGGGGCTGGGTCGGAATCAAAGATTACCTGAGCACATGGGTTGATCCACATCTAGGGAGATGGAGGGCACCGGGGTTAGACCTGAACAGGCAGACCTGGGAGGCTGTCCCTCTCCACCTCCTGCCCTGGGCCTGACCTTAAAGTCTGGGAAAACAGGCATGACCTCCACTGGTGTCACTCGGGGCTTGCTATAATGCTGGGAGATCTGGTGGGGGCAAAAACAGGGTGAGGAAGAGGAAGAAGAGCTCTGGAACCACACCTTTGTCTGCCCTCTCCCCATCCCAGTCCCTCAATTACTGATTTCTGGGCATCCTCAAATGTCTTCTCAATGGCTGTGATCTGGCTATCTCTGTCTTTGTATATTTCTTCCTCGGTAAACTGCTGCTTCACAGAAACCCCAATCCTAAGAGTAAAGGGAAAGGCTTTTAGAGGCCACTAGACACACCTGAAAGCTCCACCTTCACTCCCTTCCTGTTTGCAACTTACTTGACCTCAGGCTTCTCATTGGAGATGCCATAACGGTTGAACTCAGTGGAGATGTACTCTGTCTTACGCATCCATGGTACCACCTTCGCATGCTGCTGTGATCTGGGGTAGGAGATCAGCTACGCTCAGGACCCTCCTGCTTGTAGAGCCCATCCAAGCCAGTCCCTGATACCCACTTGGTATGCCCTCACCTCTTGGAGCTGGTGGGGGCCTGAATCTCCTCCTCCAAAAGCTTCTCATCAGCTGGATCTAGGAGAACTAGAGAGCAAGGGGGCAGGAGGACCATGAGGGAGGCCCAGGCCTGGCCTTTGCTGGCCTAGAGCAGACCCTCCCTGTCTACCCACACACCATTGGGGTCAATTCGGTAGGTGTCAGGATTGATGAGGTCGATGGTGACTCCCAGGTCCGGCTCAGTCAAGAGGTCATGTTTGTGCTGTTTCTCCAAGGAAGTGGCTTTGTACTGGACGAACCTGGGTGAAGAAACATGCCCATTATGATTTCTGGAATCTAGCTTCACCCCTCGCTTCCCTGCTTCCCAGAGACTAAGCGTCTCTGGGGAGGAATTCAGATCAGAGTGACCGCCATGTTGGAGTCTGAAGGCTGGCTCCTCAACGGGAACGGACTTGGGCACTGCTTGCTCTATTCATTAACAAACATTTATTGAGCACCTACTGCTGCATGCTAAGTAGGTACTGTGCTAGGCCCTGAAGAGAAAGCAATGAGACAAGCAGTCCCTGCCTTTAAGGAACGCCAAATATTCTTCAGTTTCCCCATCCCCGACTGTAGTCTCACCTGTTCTGGTCGAAGGGGTAGGTGATGAACTTGGGGTCGAAGGGGATATCAGGGAGGCTATTGCAGTACTTGACTCGGCAGACCACTCCAGACCTGGGAACACAGTGGCTCAAAACGGGGCCCCTGCTGCCCCACCTCTGCTCCCAGGCCCCATTGCCCCACTCCTGGGAAAGCACAGTGGGGCTCACCTCTCAGGCAGGGTCCGGTGGGAATTGGGCCTGGTGGGGAAGAAATAGAAACAGTGATAGAAAGATGGAGAGGAAGGGTTCGACGAGAGTGAAAACGGCTTCTCCAAACTTAAAAGGTAGAAGTGACACGCTAACCCCTTTTGGTAGGGGTGCTCCAATTGTTTTAATGGGGGCAGCCAAGTGTTCAACTCCTTTTGGAGAAAGTGTTTCCAAATGCTTTCATGAATGAGTGCTCAACCCCTTTTGGAGGAGATATCTTCTAGTACTTTAATAAAGAACCAAGTACTCAATCGTTTTTGGAAGAGGAATCTCCAAACCGCAATCCCTTCTGAAGAGAGTCTCCAAGAGCTTAATTCCTAAACCTGATGGCAGAGGAGGGGGCAACACCTGCGTCCCAGAAGGAACCCGCCCCCTCCGTCAAAGGTGAGCGCTCCGTGACGTCACGGGCAGACCTGAGGGGCTGGTGACGTTGTAAAGTAGAAACCCTCGCCCAATCCCCCGCCGTCTGAAACCTAGACAGACGCAGCGGAAAGCGGTAGAGCCAGGCAGTGTGGCGCCTACCTGTGGCCCTCCTCCCGCTGGGCCTGGGTCTGGATGGTGGGCGCCATAGCGATGAGGCGACGGCAGCCCGGACAGGGTCCTTGCTGTGCCGCAGGAAGACGCGGAGGGGCGTGCCAACTTCGGTGGACGCCTGATCAGGTCAGGGCTCGGGTTGGCGCCCTCTCTGTGGGGAGAGGGTTGGGATGAGGTGAGCTGCCGA